CCGCTTGCTAATTGCAAGCGTAAGAACAAAAACGAGCAAAAAAATGAAATAATTTCTAAATCAAAAGCCATTCAAAAAGAACTCATATTTTTCGGTCCGTTCTGAACTTTCAAGATCGAGCCAGAGCTGTAGTTCGTAAAAACAAATTAAAAGGCGCTTCAAAGTTCAAAAAAAAATACAAATTGTTTTTTTTTTCAGTTGAATGCCCTTTTTAGTGCTAGGTTTGTGATTGTATCGACACTTCGCAAAATTGGCAAGATGGACAACAGTTTTAGTCACAAATTTTGAAAACTAATTCAACTGAAGCAAATTTTAGATTTCAGGGCTTGAATAGGCTTATCCTTCTTCTATAAAAAGCTTATTAGACGCCTGCTCGCTCGCTTTATTCGCTCGAAATTAGACCGAAAAATCGGTTTTAAATTAAAAAAAAAATTAAATAGGTTTTACTCGACACTGAGAAACAACTATTGAATTTTTTAATGTTGTTCAAATCACGACTAAAATAGCTTTAACATGCTATATCATTCGACCCTGTCTGTCGATTGTTTGTGGTACCAAAAAGTTGTAAAAAAAAACAAAAAAATTAAAACACCCGAATTATAGTCGGACCAATAAGAAAAATTTAAAAAACACCTCCTACAGGATTCGAACTCCCAGAACTCAAAATTTAGAGAAAAATGTCTCCACAACTGCGCCATAACGCCATGAAATCCGAACACAAGTTACCAAATAAGCGGATAAAATACATGCTTGCTATTAATTTGTCTTAAGCATTAGAATTGAAAAAAAAAAACACAAATAATGAATTGACCATTTTTTTGCCCTCTAACTAATGCGAGTAAAGTTGGAAAATTTCATAGAAAAGCTCGTAATTCAACAAATGTTTGCCAGTATAAAAGTATAAAATATAGCTGCGTTGGGAGAAAAAGACCCTTCAATCCAAATTTCCTTCCCATGAAAATGATGGTCGATACAAGGATCGTAGCTCAACTTACTTGTGTCATAGACCCAAACCCAGCGCTCCATTCTCTCATCTTGACTTTTGTACTGTAACTTCAGTACCCCACCAATCATTGCTATTTTAGAGTCTCCGAAATTGGTCAAAGTGTGGAATGCTCTTCCTTTTGGCACCGGAGTCGACTTTGGCTTTTCAATGTTCCATTTGGTGTTATAGATGTCGTAAACATGGAATGCGTCCACAACTTCCGTAAGATCAAACCCTACAAATAATATTAGTTAACAGCTAAAACCCCAAACATTTGACAAATCTTTAAATTTATTAATTGAGACAAGATAGCCTGTGACTTGAGTCACTCTCAATATGTTTAATTGATGGAAGCTAGCTGACTTATGGTCCAAAAACTGAAATTTTTCTTGCTGCAAATTACAATTTTCAAAACTGCATCAGTTCGATTTCTTTGACTTTGATTTTTCTTTCAAACAATTTTAAAATGCTGTTCAAATACCTCCAAATGTGTAGAGTAGTTTTCCTCCGAGAGGATCCGAGTGATTTTTAATTACGACAGCATCCGCGCCTGTCACTGGTGTCGGTCCTTCCCTCCCATTACTATACAGTCTGGTCCATGTCTGGTAATTTTTCTCTCGGTCCAATTCAAGTATGCAGCTCTCTCCGATAAAGTAGCCTTTCTTTGTCTCGCATTTGCATTTCCAGAGAAAATTTTCTGCGTTACTGGAGTTGGAAGCACTGGAAGAATCAACCTGGGTTTCCGTTTCCTTGTTCTCATTGCACATACCTCTGCGTTCATGATACCCACAGTTTTCAGGGCAAGCTGGAATCGAGCAGTCGATGCCTTCGTAAATGCCTCCGATACAATCGCAATAAAAATTGGAATCGTCTCCATTACGTTTACATATGTGCCGTTCATTTAGGTCCTTTCGACAGTCATTGGGACATTGCGATACTTTATACGTTGCTTGAAAACCAAATCTGTTAGAATTTTGGTCCGTGAAAAAGACGATTAGCATCTAAACACATTAATCAAAAATTATATTAAACAAGTACACTTGCTCTCACAAGTAAAACAAAACTGTATATTTCAAGCAACACTTACTGAGCCAGAATTGGCGTAAAGCACTGATGGCGATGAGCTTCCACTAATGGTTGCCAGGATTTTAGTGTCCGATGATTGACTACGACCATCATAGACAAATAAATAGTCAAAAGAGCACTCTGTTATTAGCTGAGAAAACTGCAGCGTTATTGAGTAACCTTTTGGAGCTAAAAAAAAATCAAAATTAAAATCACCAACGAACAATGTGATTGTATTCTCTGATTTCAGCAACAAAAAAAACTACTTAAATAATGAGACTTTAGAAGTAAAAAAACTCCTTTCATTCAAATACTCTCAAAAACAGTTAATAGAATCTTAAAAACACATACCTTCTATTAACCACTCTGCATGAGTGTTTGCAAGATAATTGTGGTTACGATTTTCTATCGTTCCTGTTTTATCAATGCTCCCATTAATAAAATCTCTCGAGAAATGTGAAAATACTGCATTTCCAAAAAATAGGACAAGAATATAAACTGTTGAGCAACCCATTCAACTGAATGTATAGAATAATATAACTGTCAAATCATTGTTCTGAAAGAAGAAACAAGTTGATTAAAGGGCAAATATCTTTAGAGTGTGCAGTAACGGAGCCATACTTCTAAACACAGAGGCGAAGCTTCGCATCACTTTCGATACCATGGAAATAGCATTTAAAGCTAGCAGACAGGAAAGTCCAAAGAAAACGACAAACCTTTCGACGAAACCACAACAAACAACTTCAAGATGTTGTCTGAAACTGTTTTCTATTTACTGAAAACACATCCACAAAACATAAACTTATTAAATAGATTCCTCTTCCCTCGTTCAAACTGTGTGTTTTCAGAAAAGTTGTAGCTAGGAACAAGAACACCTTATTCGAAACGAAAAAAGTCCCGTCCGTTCCTAGCCGTGGATGGGTGAAAACCAATGAGATTTCACATATTCAAGAAAACGTCGTCGCAACACTTGAAATCGTCGTCGCAACACTTGTTGATCGGAGACTCACAATTGAAAAATCTAACTTTCCCAAATTTCAATATCCTCAGCCTTCCTGGTGCAGGTATCGCGGATGTTCTAAACTTCTTGCCCCGCAAGAACGAATACGATATTATAGCTCTATTCATTGGTGCGAACGATCTGTTTACGAAAGACAAAAAAGACTCAACGAGAACACCCGAAGACGTTGCTGAAGAATTATCCCAACTTGGCCTACGGTTGACAGAACGTTGCAATAAAGTTTTCATTATCGCTCTACCACCCAGACTCGGAAGACCAGCCCGAACGGAACGTGTAAACGATATTCTTCGCAAAAAGAAAGAACTCTGGCGATATCGCGGTATATCGAAAGGAATAACCACCAAAACTGTTCTATCTTCCGACGAAGTGCATTTAACAACAGCATCGCTTGCGAGTCTCCAAACGATTTTGAAAAAGAAAATCATCTACAAGAAGTTCTGTGTAAAAACTGATAGCGAGGGCTACTCGAATATATAACACTGCGGCAACAACGTTTGTCGGTGTCATCATTTTCACAGAGACTGAATTTTCTATTGATACCCTTTAGGTATCGCCAGATTTGATGTCTTTGTGAATTCACATCTATAAAAAAACCGTTTTCTCCCGCTAGTCATCAAGTACCCTTAAGGTCCCAAACAACTGTTTTCATAACCCTAACACTGATACTTCAGTCCTCAATCGGCGCCCTTTAGGTACCACCCTGAGGACTCGAGTACACTACCTAAACCTTCATCCCCCAAACACAGTTTCCACAGAGATAAGAGGACGTAAACATAAATAAAACTGAGAATGTCAAAGGACAAAAAACCTTGCAAAACATGCAAGAAACCCATAAGCGAAAATGACCCAATATACAATTGCATCACCTGTAATTGCTCTATGCACCTTGAAGTTGTCTGCACTGGCCTCTCGACCGTTGCACTCAATGGAATACTGGAACTTGGTAACAACGCACTACTGATATGCAATACCTGTCTGTCCAACGGAAAAAGAGATCAAGTAATCAGAAGCACAGCAGCACATGACAAAAGTGAAAACATCAAAAAAATTGAAGAAGAAATTTCAAAACTAAGTAAAGTAGTAGCCGAAGTCTCGACAAAAATGGAAAATATTAAAGATCCCATCCAAATCCTGCCAATAGCAGAACAGGGTAAAACCTGGTCACAAGTAGCAGCGCAAAACATAATCAAACCCCTGAGCAAAGGATTGAGAATAAGAGGGGTCCCCGAGATCAAGGAAAGATATGGAAGAAAAAGACTTGACCATGACTATGATGAGGTAAATAAAATCATGAAATTCTTAAACCTCGAATGCAATATCACTGATCTCAAGCGTGTGGGAAAGTTCAGCGAAGAACGAGCAAACCACAGAACTATACTGGTATGAGTAACCTGTCCAAGAGAAATAGACTTGATACTATCATCAACACCGGCCCTCAAAAATTATGACAAAAATGTCTTCATAAGTAAGGAACTCCCAGTCGAAGAAATGAAACTGGAAAACGCCATCCTGAGAGAACGTAGAAATCTCATCAGCAGTGGTAAAAACCCCAAAAATATTCGAATCAGAAACCTAGAACTGCATGAAAAAGTAGACGACACCTGGACAAAAGTTACAATTAAACCGGAGGCAAACAGCACAATTCAGACTAGAATCGACAACTGACTAGAATCGCTGAATGTTATGTCATTCAATACGCGAAGTATACTGGATATAAATAGACGTATGAAACTTAGCAATATAATACTATCGAACGATTATGACATCATTTGCTTAAGCGAAACTTGGTTAACTGAAAACATCCCTGACAACGCGCTTTTTCTGCCTCCACACATAATAACTAGATGTGATAGACCTACCAACTCAACAAAATCGAAACACGGGGGCGTGCTTATTGCTGTTAAGCAATCCTTAGCTTTCACAAAACTTGAAATACACACTACGGACTGCGTTGGACTCCTCTTTAACACTCCGACACCTCTCATCCTATGCTGTATCTACAGTGCCCCGAACGAAAGCAAATATAAGCTATCCACAGATGACTTCAACAAACTATTGAATATGCTAACTGACTACTCAAATGAATTTCAATGCCCAAATATTTTATTGGTTGGTGATATCAACTTCGCTAATACGCATTGGCAAACCTTGCAATCAACCCAAAAACACGAACAATTAGTACTGCAGACTTTTACTGATATGAAATTTCAACAGTTTATCGAACCCCCTCATGACCAATTAGATATTGTCCTTTGCAACAACCTCGACATTATTTTAAACACCACGATAGACAACCATATGAAAAAACACTTCTCACACCAAGAAAGAAAATTATCAGACCACAACCCTTTTCTAATCACGATATCATCTCTTACACACAATGACGAAAAAGCCACTCCCATACAACACGGATCCAACTTTCTGGACTTTGGTGTCTTCTCATTAAACAACGTCGATTGGATTACTTTAAACAAATACATTTTGGAACACCCATTTCAACCGTACTGCTACTCTAACATTGACCACTTAATCAACTCATGGTACCTCTGGCTATATATAGAACTAGAAAAACACATGAAAAAACAGACCAAACACCGTATGAACCTAGCACCTTGGATGACACCTGAAACCTCCAATATTATCAAAAGACTCAACACAGCATCAAAAAAAGTAGCCTTTAAAAATACTCATACTAATAACCGCAATCTTCAAAGACTTAAAAACCTTGTAGATCATTTATCCGAATTAGATCAGAAAAATTTCAAAGAATCAACTTTCAAGGGCAGAAATATCTCAAAGCTCCGAAAATACTTTAAAAGCATACGAAAAAACTCAAGTACTCCAAAAACAATGTACTGGAATGAAAAAACCGAATCAAAAGAGCACGGTAAAGCTAATCTTCTAAACAATTACTTCGTAAGCGTTTTTAACATTAAACAGAATGAAAACATTTTACCAATAGCTGAATTACCTGGCTCAATCAAATGCTTCAATTTCTCTGAAAATGAGATATACGACATCCTTAAAACATTAAACCTCCAAAAAGCAAGAGGACCAGATAGACTCGGTAACACAGTCCTAACCAATTTAGCAGATAGCATAACTTCATCTCTAAAACTGATTTATAACACCATCACCAACAAAGCAACATTTCCAACGATCTGGAAACTTAGCCAAATCATCCCAACTTTTAAAAATGGAAACAAGCAATCGGTCACAAACTACAGGCCCATCAGCCTGCTAACTGCAGTATCCAAAGTCTTAGAGAAACTGATCTTCCTTAAAATCTCACCAAAGATCTTCTCGCAAATCCATGACAGCCAATTTGGCTTCTGTCCTAAACGATCGACAACTCTGCAAATGCTCCAATTACTTGACAAAATCTATGATGACTTTGATAACCCTAATATCAAGTCTCTACAGGCAATATACTTAGACTTCGAAAAGGCTTTCGACAAAGTTCCTCACGACTTGTGCATACATAAACTCAATAAATTTGGCATATCAGGAAACTCACTTAAACTATTAGCACACTACTTAACCAACAGAAAACAGCAAGTTCGAATAGGTGCGGCAGTATCCAGCCATCTTGAAGTTAGTAGCGGCGTACCTCAAGGCTCACTGTTAGGGCCAGTATTCTTCATTACATTCATCAACGATTTACCGTCATCACTCACCAACTCGTGCTATGGTTACGCAGACGATTATAAAATTGTTGCAACGAACCCTTCCCTGCTCCAACATGACCTAATCACGATCAACTTATGGTGCAAAGATAATTCCATGAGTCTTAATTTGAAAAAATGTCACAATATAATATTCAAAGACCCCCAACTTGACCTAAACATGTATCTCGGTGACCATATACTTGAAAAAACCTGTTCAGAAAAAGACCTTGGTATACAAATAACCAACAACCTAAACTGGTCAGCACACGCAAAAATAAGAGCCCAAAAAGCAATAGGCTGCTTATTTTTAATTAAAAGAAATATTTCAAAATCAGCGAGCTTAAAAATGAAACTGAACTCCTACTGTGGATATGTAACCCCAATTGTGTCATATGGCTCACCCATATGGAAAGCAAATAAGTGTGAATTAAAAATTATTGAAGATGTCCAAAGAAAAGCTACACGTTGGATACTGTCATGTAACAACATCAACTATAAAGACAGACTGATTAGATTAAACCTGCTTCCACTGTCTCTCTACCACGAAATGCACGACATTCTCTTGCTTCATAAAATAATAAACGACCAATTTGTTCAGTTCAAAGAATCTACAGCCCCAACAAGAAGATCAACGAAAAATAACTTAGCGCATAAAAATTATCATTACGAAAAATCGAAAAGCAATTTCTGGCACAGAACACCTATACTAGCAAACAAAATGTTACAGACTCAGGAAGAAGAAGACCTGTTTGCGATGAAAAACGAAAGACTCAAATCAAGCCTCAAAAACGTTTTCTGGATTTATTTCATCAGTAAATATGAGGAAAGTGTCCCATGCACATGGAGAATAAACTGCTGCAATAGCGGTGTAAACTCAATGAAACTATAAAACTCAGTTTAAAACTCCCAACGCGGGGCATTTTAGGCCCATGGATTTACGTCTAAATCCTTGTTTATTATGATTATTATTATTATTATTCGACGGCGTTTAATGAAAGATCCAACAACCATTATTGAGCGAAAATAAAGTTGTCATGAAAAAATTTGAACTCTTATTTCTATTCTGAAAATTTGAACGTCTTGTGCGATCCGGAGGAATGCATACAAATTAGGCGTTGCCCG